GTTAAGTTTGGGATATGCTGTTTATCGATATCTGCCACCCAGCCTAGCCTCCTTGGTGAGTGCCAGGCTAATGAGAGACCCTGTCTCAAAAAACAAGGTAAAAGCCAGGTGTGGTGGCACACGCCTTTAATCCCAGCTCTTTGGGGGCAGAGGCAGGCAGATCTCAGTGAGTTTGAGGCCAGCCTGGTCTACATAGTGAGTTTCAGGCCAGCTGGGGCTACAGGGAGACCCTGTCTCAAAAAGACCAAAAAATAAAAAAATAAATAAAAAAACAAGGTAAATGGTTTCCAAGGAATGGTAAGTCAGGGTTGTCCCTCGATTCCACATACGTGTGCATGCTCCCATGCCCCTATGTACAAAGTAGCTCAGATTCCAGGTGTAGGAGACCATGTCTGGTTCTAAGGTGTCTTTTAGTGGAAATTGACCACCAGCTAGCTGGGAAAAACATCTTGTAGCAGTGGCAAAAGCAGGAGCCTGGAACTAGTCAGGGACTGTCACTTCCTATTGGAGAGCATCCCATGGTTACTGACACCTAGTAGGTACTCAACATTGTTCACCAACTGCCTACCACATGCAAGGCCTTGGTCTTGGGAAGACAAAGCTAACTGAACATGGTCAGACTCTGCCTTCAAGGGACACACGAGGCATATGCTGAATGCCTACCATGTGCCAGAATATTTCCATGCTTTCATCACTTTCGTTTTTCAGAAAAAGAAGCCAACTGCAGCTCAAGAGCTTAAATAACCTCCTCACCTCTCACAGCGAGTCAGTTTCCAACCTGGGTCCATAGTTGGTCTGATTCCAAAGCTGTTTGCTGTTTGCCTACCATGTCAGGCTGCCTGACCAAAAGGAAAGTGCCAGGGCCCTGAGTAATCTGCCCTGTATGGGTCAGTCTGTCAGAGTGGGAAGATAGGAGAGAGAAGACCATCCTAAGAAAGCAAGAATGGAGCATTTGGGATAAGACTTCAAGGCCAGATAAAATTCCAGGGTGAGCCGGGCGTGGTAGCACACGCCTTTAGTCCTAGCACTCGGGAGGCAGAGGCTTGAACTCTGTGAGTTCAAGGCCAACCTAGTCTACATAGTGAGTTCCAGAACAGCTGGGGCTACAGGGAGACCCTGTCTTTAAAAAAGACCAAAAAAATTCCAGTGTGGAGAGATGCTAGATTAGCCTTTAGCAATCCACATATAATGTATACTGTTATTCCACCTACAGACAAGAAACCACTGTGGTTATGGACTGATCAAAGAAGGGAGGCATTAATTATCCTACACTTCTGACCTGTCCAATGCACAGAGTCTGCTCTGTGCCTAAGAAAGTCCTCAGGCAAACAGATACAGATGCTAGCAATTGAAATTCTGCACTGATTATTCCACAATGATAAGACCCAAGGGGATGTGGAAGCACAGTAGCAGTTTGGTATATTTCCATCTAACCTTATATATGTATAGGTATATAAAGATTTATTTAGTTAAGTTTGGGATATGCTGTTTATCGATATCTGCCACCCAGCCTAGCCTCCTTGGTGAGTGCCAGGCTAATGAGAGACCCTGTCTCAAAAAACAAGGTAAAAGCCAGGTGTGGTGGCACACGCCTTTAATCCCAGCTCTTTGGGGGCAGAGGCAGGCAGATCTCAGTGAGTTTGAGGCCAGCCTGGTCTACATAGTGAGTTTCAGGCCAGCTGGGGCTACAGGGAGACCCTGTCTCAAAAAGACCAAAAAATAAAAAAATAAATAAAAAAACAAGGTAAATGGTTTCCAAGGAATGGTAAGTCAGGGTTGTCCCTCGATTCCACATACGTGTGCATGCTCCCATGCCCCTATGTACAAAGTAGCTCAGATTCCAGGTGTAGGAGACCATGTCTGGTTCTAAGGTGTCTTTTAGTGGAAATTGACCACCAGCTAGCTGGGAAAAACATCTTGTAGCAGTGGCAAAAGCAGGAGCCTGGAACTAGTCAGGGACTGTCACTTCCTATTGGAGAGCATCCCATGGTTACTGACACCTAGTAGGTACTCAACATTGTTCACCAACTGCCTACCACATGCAAGGCCTTGGTCTTGGGAAGACAAAGCTAACTGAACATGGTCAGACTCTGCCTTCAAGGGACACACGAGGCATATGCTGAATGCCTACCATGTGCCAGAATATTTCCATGCTTTCATCACTTTCGTTTTTCAGAAAAAGAAGCCAACTGCAGCTCAAGAGCTTAAATAACCTCCTCACCTCTCACAGCGAGTCAGTTTCCAACCTGGGTCCATAGTTGGTCTGATTCCAAAGCTGTTTGCTGTTTGCCTACCATGTCAGGCTGCCTGACCAAAAGGAAAGTGCCAGGGCCCTGAGTAATCTGCCCTGTATGGGTCAGTCTGTCAGAGTGGGAAGATAGGAGAGAGAAGACCATCCTAAGAAAGCAAGAATGGAGCATTTGGGATAAGACTTCAAGGCCAGATAAAATTCCAGGGTG